GCCCGCCGCTCCGCCTACGCCGGCGATGACCCTCTCGGCAGAGCGACATCGCGACACGCGAGCACCGGGCAGAGAAGGGGACGCAGAAGCGGTTGGATGGAGAGGCAGCCGGCGCACGAGGAGAGGCAGCCGATGGAGCCGACGAGGTGAGTAGACACGAGTTTACCATTCTGCCGGGGGGGGGGGGGGCGCAAGCCCTCCCCACCACTGCTACTGTACTGCATGCAACTCAACAGTGGTCGCAAGCGTCGCAAAGGGCAGGGAGGCAGCCTCCCGCGCTGTCGAACGCCCCCCCGGCCCAGACAGAGGCATCACAATCATGCTCTGGCCAGCGTCTGGGGGCTCGGCATTGCGCAACACACGCCGCAATCAGCCTGAAAGCAAATGATGGGGTGGGCGCGGGTGGACGAGAGTGGAGCCGAGTTGGGTGGGAGAGGGAGCACGCACGTGCAGCGGTGCCGAGAGTGGGTTGAGATGGCACCGCCTGCGGCCGCCCGGGCGACGGCTTGCGCAGGTATGTTGTTCATGTCCTTATCCGCCGCCGCTTGGCTGCAGCAGCCAATGACGCCGCCCGCCTTTGAGAGGCGGCGTCTGGACGTGCTTGGCGGTTGACGCCGGCCCGACACTGCGCCTCGTGCGCGTCCACCTCCGTCGAGGTCGACGCGTCGAGATCGGAGCGCATCACCGAGACGCCAGAGCCCGCCTTCGCCGACATGATTCCCCGCCGGAGAGCTCGGTGAGTGTGCCGTCGCCCGAAACGGAAAACCGGCCGCGGGGAAATATAAGGTAAGATACAAAAGACAAGAAGGGACGGACGGGTCACGCGGGAAAAGATATTACACGGGGCAGGTGTGACGGGCTACCCCGACACGGGGGGTAGTCGCAGATTGAACACAGAGAGAAGACTGGGATAGAGAGATCGCGTGAGCGCGGGGGGGGCGCGCCCAGGGTGGGCGCGCGGGCGCAGGGCCCCGGAGAGGCCCCAGCGGGCGCAAGCGGGGCCAGCGGCAGCGCGCCCCAGGCCGCCAGGGCCCCCACGCAGGTGCGAGAGGTGCGTCGTGCGCAGGTCGACGGGTCCAGAGCGAGCGCAGAGGTGGGCGAGACCGAGAGGGGTGAGACGGGGCGGAGAGCGCGACCCGGGGGGGGCAAACTGCCCGGGGTTTCAAAACCACCGACTTAAAACTCCGGGATCGTAGCCCCCTCGGATTACATGCTCATACCCACAATCAAACGGACCCACACGATTGGTATCTCGAGGTATCTAGTAGTGGTGTACTCGGCCCCGGCGCGCTGTCAGGGTGCGTGATCACCCGTCTCGCTCTCCACTCTTGCTCTCTGGACGATCTATCAGTCCACTCGCGCTGTACACAGCCCTCAACCTGCAGGCCTAGCGGCGGACGCGCTGTCGCCGCCGCGCCGCGGGAGCAAGGAGGGAATAACGGGGTATCCACAGAGAAGTGGTGGGTTGCCGCGCAACTTTACCAGCACTGGCACCACCCCTTCTTCTCCTTGAAGCCCGCCACCTCGAGCTTGAGCGACAGCCCCTCGCCAAAGGAGACCTCGACCGGCTCTTGCTTGACGCCCGCGCTCAGCAGCTCCGCGAGGGGCACCTTGGCCGTCTCCGCGCCGGGGAAGGGCGTGCCCTTGCCGAGCCCGCCCACGCCG